ATAGAGAGGAAAGTATAAAAGCGTTGAATTCTCCACCTCGCTTTCAATCAATCTGACACAGGCAACGAGTTGGAGATGAGTCAGACTTTAAGCCTCCTGGCAAACAGACATAATGCACCCAGTTTTCAGACAACTCATCCGCACCCCTTATTATGCAAATGTATGCAAAACTCTCAGCCTCAAATTAAATATTTTAAAAAGTCACCATAATGAGATCTAATGAACACTATCAAAGAATGCTTTACGCTGGTTGTCCACAAGTCAAAACATCATATTTGCAAACATATTTTGGTTGGTTTTGACTTTATTCTAGTTAAAATGAACCTTACGTCTCCCTTATGCAACCAAACAATGACACAACTTAAATCAGTACCTAACCAGTTTCAAAGCTGTGGTTCAGTTTGGACTTTTTCCCAAATTGAAGAAATTACTCAAAACTGGAGCAACAGTCCACAGGTCTTTAAACTTTGTAATATTGTTCACTGCAGACCCAAAATGAATGAATCAATGAAAAAGGTCTTGGAAATAGAACCTATATATAAAAAACAACCTTTAAATGGACAGAAACGTCATGAGGAAGCAGGGCAATTAGTTTTTCAGTCAGCAGTAAAACCCATACGACCATATACAGCCCGCAATCAGCACACAACATAGGATGGACAATAAATAAATACAGTAGTTAAGAAACAGGCAACACAGTTACTTATTTAAAAAGGTGATGGCAGCAGGAACAAATGAGTTTCTCATCCTCTTTGTCCTGCATGCTGGCATGTTGAATCTGTAGCCTGATGGCAGCAACTTCAAATCCTTGGACAAAGGATGACTTTGATCTGCCAAGATTGACTGAGCTTTCTTCGAGTACCCAGACTGAACAGATATTGATGACTTTGAACACAATTACCAGTGACTTAAGAGCCCCTTATTTGGCTGACTCGGCACATCTCAGGTCTAACCATACATCTACATTCATGAGCAGGAGGTATACATTTAGCATTTCTGGTTTAATTGACATGTATGAGTGATGCTTCTTCAACTTGTTATTTTGTGTAATTTATTCTCCAAAGGCCTCAAACAGTTGATTGCATTCAATCATATACATTATTAAAATTCAGGTGCTCAATGTTCATGTTTCACAGTCCTTCTTCTTTAAATACTGTACTCATTTGTCTTTGTGGTTCAGAGGGCATGTTGAAGAGAGGAATACAGATTCCAGAACAAAACACATCACACAATGTTTTTCTTACAGGTTTATTGCACTGACTTTGCATGACATATTTAACAGGGCGATCATGTCTGTCTCACAGTCCTGTAGGTTGAAACAGGAGTATCTCGGGTTACTGGTTCATGGGGGCGCAGTAAGTCTCGTCCTGGTTGGTGGCGACCATCTTCTCAGGGTTGACACCGGCAGCTGACAGGATGCTCTGCATACTTTGCAGGGTCTCCTCAGACATGGTGGGCTCTCTGCTCAGGATCCAAGCAAACTCCAAGCGGAACAGACCGAAGTCTGAGCAGCCGTAGACCAGGGAGTGGGTCTCGTAGTCGGAGGACAGCACCCAGTAGGGGCCAGGGGGAGAAGGAACTGAAGGGATGAGGAGGAGAGTTAGTGCTGCTGGAATATTCAGCACACTGGAAACTTCTTACAATGACTTAATTACAGAATATATTTCAGAAAAATTCCTACTGTCAGTGAAGGAGACCTCCAGCTTGGCAGGCTCAGAGGGATGCTTGACCTTGGCAGAGCCGACGATGAAATTAATGCTTCCATCCTTACTAAAATCAGAGAGTTGAAACATTCAAATCCTAAGTATAAGACACATATTATTGTACTTGCTCTTATTTGTTAAATTACATTCTGTATCTCTATACTTTTCACAGATTTTGCATACATTGAAGAATGAAACTCCTGACTGTTGTCTAACTTTGTTTGTGTTATACTCTGTATGTTCTTTGGTGGGAACTGTCTGTTTAGACAGAAACGGTGCTGTGGAAAAGAATTTCCCCAGACTTAGACTTAAAAAGTCTAATTTTTAACAAAAGAGGGATTTTTGCAGAGGACAACCAATAAGAACTTTAACAACATTAAGGTTATTAACAAAGTAGTTTAGCAAATGTGACAGCTGTAGACAACTCTGTGGAAATGATTAAAAAAACATTTTTAACATTAATAATAAAAATACTATTTTAAGGACTATGATTGAAATGTTGTTGATCCAAAATGTTGTAGAGATGAAGGAGTATTTATTTTCAAATGAATATGTATCAACCTATAAAAGTGTTAGATATTTATGTGGTCTGGACTCACAGCAGCTCCCTGTTGAGGACTCCGATGACTCCTGGACTCTTTGGGCTGTAGGTGGCAGTGCCGCACTCGCCTTTCTGGAACTGTGTTGGCAGCTTCATGATCTCATACCACTTACCAACGTACTAACAAGAAACACAGAATGTCACCAAAAAAACAACAACTGATATATCCTAAACATTTAATGAATATAAATACGGACAGATAGTTTATACTTTTACAGCATTATCGACTTTATATTTCATGATGTTTATAGCAGATAAGAATAAATGGTTCATATTCACCCTGCTGGAATCAAAGTTGGCCTGCACAGGCGGTTTGGGGCATTTTCCAAACCTCAGCATCTGAGCACTGGCTGCCATAACACACAGCAGAGTCAAGGAAATCACCTGCATGGCCTTCATCTTTACACCTCGAGCTGCAAAGAACAAAAAAAAACATTCAACCGTCAAAAACTTCAAAAGATTGCTCCTGAACTCCTGAAGAAAAGAGCAGGAGACGCATTAGGAGGAGTAATGGCTGCAGTCTGCTCACCTGTATGTAATCAGAGATACTACACTGAGTGCTGGATGGTCACTTTGGGGGTCTTTTATAGATCTAAGCGCCTGTAGCGTCATCATTGATCACATTCTCTCCTTGTGTTTACATGTAATTGTGTTATGAGGAGGTGGGGCATGTGTGGGAGACGACATCTGTTCAAACGGGCCTCACACTTTCTTATCTTTGTAGTACTATATCCACATTGTCATTCACTCCTCTCTATGTTTTCATCTCATTGAAACCTCTTTTCATATTATCATCCCTTTCAAAAGTATAGTTGACATGAATGGGAGCCACATTCAATTTAAAACCACCAGCCCTAGATAACCACCCCCACATTTGATTATTTCCTTTAAATTTTTGTTTGTCAGAACAATAAAAACGTTCAGTGCATGCAAGCAGTGCCTTCATATCAAAAGGGAGTTTCCACATATTATCTGGATGTTGGGATTTATTTCTAACTTTTGTCCCCAATTGTGATTTTTGGGATGTACTTGTATCGATATATTTTTTGTGCAAAAACTCTAAACACATTCTCACTTACTAAAATATATTTTGCACTGTGTTTCACTTGTTATTCAAAACCGCAACCACAGGTGTCAATGTTTACACAAAAAACTACAAACTGAAAACACTTGTTGCTAATTATGTGATTAAACCAATGTGAGAAAATTCAGAGTGCATGAGTGAGTTTAAAACTGATAATACAGAGAATCTTTTAATTTCAATCCCAAAACCCTGGCTGCAGTCAGCTTCCGCTAAAACATAATCATTACACAAACTCTCACCTCTCACACCACAACATTGTCGAACATCAACATATTCAACACATAGACACTTCTCAACTCAACTCTCTTCTACCTCTCAAGTCCCCCTTACAAAGCACCTTCTCTCTCTCCTCTTCTCTCTTTCTCTCTATCGCTTCTTTCACTTCTTGTATCCTTTCTTAGGTTTTTCATATGGTTTTGTAGTTTTTCTGATCGTAGTCTGATGTGTGTCTATTGATGTCTTAGTACTGTGCTGTCTTTATTTATTTTATTTGTTTTATTTTATGTTTTACTGTATTTTGGAGTCCTGACCTTGTCTGTTTATTTCTTTGTGCCTCATTTTTATGTATATATCACCAGTTTGTCACTTTATTGCACCTAATAAAAAAAAATAAAAAAAACATGCAACATACTCAAAATGTCTTACCATCTCATGAAGGGTTTGTTTACCATCTCTTGTTAGCATGCTAGCAACTTTATAATGAGGTTGTTATGATGTTATGTTTACAAAGATTATCATCAAGTTGAACATGTTAGCATGCTAAAATGGCCACAAATACCGACTAGCAAGTATGTTGTATTAACAGAAAGATAACTTTTTATCTTATTTTTAAAACAACCCTAAATGCTCCTATCGACATGCTAACATGCGCACAAAGACAATGCTAACATACTGATGTTTATCAAGTATATTTTATATTTATACTATCTGAGTTTACCATGTAAGCATGCCGATGTCTGCTTATTAGTATAAATTAAGCTGTGGCATTTTGTGAAAATAAAGCACTGCACAAAATAACGAGTTCAACCATTTATGATAGCAACATAAAAAGAGATGAATTTCTTATCAGTCTTTAAAGTTATTTGCTTCAATGTATCACCAGGGGAACATTAATATCTTTACCAAACGTTATGTCATAGAGCTATATGTTGAAATATTATTAGCATACATTTTACATTCATGGTAAGAGGAACTCAGGGGATAAACAGAGTCACTGGGATTGTTTAAAAAATGTTTTTATGTAAATCATCTTATTTCCTTTTATTTTTTAGATTTGTTTTAGTCAAAAGGACTTCAGGTCTGTATACTGCACTCTTAACATGTAACATGTCAGTCATCTGTTTTTCTGTCAGAGGCCTCTTTAAACACAAATTACAAACGTGGACAGGTGCTGATTCTCACACTTTTCTCAAAATAGCCTCACATGTTACAGAATGGAGAGGAGGGTGTGCAGAACAAGCATCCCTGGAGTATATAAGTGCCATCACAACTTTACTGCTTCCCAGTAACACAGGTAAGCAGCAGAAAGGAGATGTTCAAGCCTTTTCCAGCGGTGTCTCTTCCTGTCAATATTTCAGTGAATGAATCTTGAAAATTGAATTTCTGTTTGTTGTTATTGTTGTTGTCTACAGGTTGTAAAGGAAAGATGAATTCCCTTCAGGTGATTTCCCTCACTCTGCTGTCTGTACTGGCTGCTAACGCTCAGGTCATCTCACCTGGAAGATGCCCCAAGGCGGCTGTTCAGGAGAACTTTGACGCTGCCAGGGTGACTACCAAACCCTTTTTTTAATATTCCTTTTTGATTAAAAATATTCAGTTAGGAATAAAGAGGCATCTATTTTCCATTGTAGAAGTTAATAAATTAGATCATCCAAGGAGACATAAAAACCAAAATAGCCACTAAATGCCTCATGACTCCGTATCTCTTCATGATCAAAAACTGAATTTTATGATCTTATGTTCCTTGTTCCTCCTCTGCAGTATCTGGGTAAGTGGTATGACATCCAGAGACTGCCACACAGCTTCCAGAAGGGCGAGTGCTGCACCGCCACCTACAGCCTGAAGAGCCCTGGAGTTATTGGAGTCATGAACCAGGAGCTGCTGTGAGTACTCTGCACACCTCTCTAGTTTGAGTCAAGTTTGATTCTTGACATGTTGTTGTAGGTATAAAATAAGACTCAAATCGTACTAAAGGAAAATACTTGCCCATCACGGGTGTTACTATTTCTAAAGCCTTTACTGTCTCTTTCTCTCAGTGCTGACGGGACCATCAACAGCATCAGTGGATCTGCCTGGGCTAAGGATGCCTCCGAACCCGCCAAGCTGCTTGTCTCATTCTTTGAGTGTAAAGAACCCTTTTTATTATTCAGAAAAATGGAAGATTTATGTTCCAGTGCTTAGAAATATCAGTTTTCAAGCAATGGAGCTCACAAAAAGAATTTTGTTAAATTTAACTGCCATGTTCTTTCCTCCCCCAGTCTCTCCCCCTGCCTCTTATTGGGTGCTGTCCACCGATTACGACAACTACTCTCTGGTGTACAGCTGCACTGACCTTGGCGTGGCGCACGTGGAGTTCGCCTGGATCATGAGCAGGCAGCCCACCCTGTCTGAGGAGACCCTTGAGGATCTGCACAGCACTCTGATGTCCATCGGAGTTAAAGTGGAAAAGCTGCTGACCACCAACCAGGACCCTGCTCTCTGCAGCGCCATGTAAACGATTGGAGCGGATTTATCCTGCAGACCGATGTGTGGTGCCTGACTGGGGAACATCTCACTGTGTTTCTCATGCAATAAACTTATTTAAACAGTAGTGCTGGTTTGTGTGTCCTTTCTGTGGACCTCTGTGCTGGTTGTATAAGATTAAGATGAACTTTATTGATCCCCGCAAGGGGAAATTCTGTTTTTACACTCTGTAAGTCATGCAATACACACACATGCACAAACAGGATCCTATGGACATGCACTAATAGAGAGATGTCAGAGTGATGGAGCTGCTCCCAGCAGGTGCTCCTGAGCTGGTGGTGGAGAGGGGGTTTGATGCCTTGCTCAAGGGCACCTCAGCAGTGCTCAGGAAGCGATCTGGTACCTCTCCAGCTACCAGACCAACTTCCATATTTGGTCTGCACCAGGACTTGAACTGGCAACCCTCTGGTTCCCAACCCAAGTCCCTACAGACTGAGCTACTGCTGCCCAAAACTGAGTTATGGTACAATAAAAAACAATATTGAAAATATATTACCTGTTCGTAACATTACCTTTGCTCTCATAGTTTTCCCTTCATAAAATAGCTGATTGGTTAGTATTCAGCATGTACTGTGCTCATAAATAACTTGCCTAAAGCCCATATTTAACAGCTTAAAAAAGTAAAAATAGTATTAAAATGTTTGAATTAAGTAATATGTTGAGAAAAAAATCCAGTGAACTGCCCTTCATTAAGTTTACACAAGTCACAGTGCACAAGGTTAATAAAAATAAAATGGCATGCTGAACCTTAAAAAATAGAGAGGAAAGTATAAAAACGGTGAATTCTCCACCTCGCTTTCAATCAATCTGACACAGGCAACGAGTTGGAGATGAGTCAGACTTTAAGCCTCCTGGCAAACAGATATAATGCACCCAGTTTTCAGACAACTCATCCGCACCCCTTATTATGCAAATGTGTGCAAAACTCTCAGCCTCAAATTAAATATTTTAAAAAGTCACCATAATGAGATCTAATGAACACTATCAAAGAATGGGTTTCACTGATTGTCCAAAAGTCAAAACATTATATTTGCAAACATATTTTGGTTGGTTTTGACTTTATTCTAGTTAAAATGAACCTTACGTCTCCCTTATGCAACCAAACAATGACACAACTTAAGTCAGTACCTAACCAGTTTCAAAGCTGTGGTTCAGTTTGGACTTTTTCCCAAATTGAAGAAATTACTCAAAACTGGAGCAACAGTCCACAGGTCTTTAAACTTTGTAATATTGTTCACTGCAGACCCAAAATGAATGAATCAATGAAAAAGGTCTTGGAAATAGAACCTATATATAAAAAACAACCTTTAAATGGACAGAAACGTCATGAGGAAGCAGGGCAATTTGTTTTTCAGTCAGCAGTAAAACCCATACGACCATATACAGCCCGCAATCAGCACACAACATAGGATGGACAATAAATAAATACAGTAGTTAAGAAACAGGCAACACAGTTACTTATTTAAAAAGGTGATGGCAGCAGGAACAAATTAGTTTCTCATCCTCTTTGTCCTGCATGCTGGCATGTTGAATCTGTAGCCTGATGGCAGCAACTTCAAATCCTTGGACAAAGGATGACTTTGATCTGCCAAGATTGACTGAGCTTTCTTCGAGTACCCAGACTAAACAGATATTGATGACTTTGAACACAATTACCAGTGACTTAAGAGCCCCTTATTTGGCTGACTCGGCACATCTCAGGTCTAACCATACATCTACATTCATGAGCAGGAGGTATACATTTAGCATTTCTGGTTTAATTGACATGTATGAGTGATGCTTCTTCAACTTGTTATTTTGTGTAATTTATTCTCCAAAGGCCTCAAACAGTTGATTGCATTCAATCATATACATAATTCAAATTCAGGCGCTCATTGTTCATGTTTCACAGTCCTTCTTCTTTAAATATTGTACTCATTTGTCTTTGTGGTTCAGAGGGCATGTTGAAGAGAGGAATACAGATTACAGAACAAAACACATCACACAATGTTTTTATTTCTACAGGTTTATTGCACTGACTTTGCATGACATATTTAACAGGGCGATCATGTCTGTCTCACAGTCCTGTGGGTTGAAACAGGAGTATCTTGGATTACTGGTTCATGGGGGCGCAGTAAGTCTCGTCCTGGTTGGTGGCGACCATCTTCTCAGGGTTGACACCGGCAGCTGACAGGATGCTCTGCATACTTTGCAGGGTCTCCTCAGACATGGTGGGCTCTCTGCTCAGGATCCAAGCAAACTCCAAGCGGAACAGACCGAAGTCTGAGCAGCCGTAGACCAGGGAGTGGGTCTCGTAGTCGGAGGACAGCACCCAGTAGGGGCCAGGGGGAGAAGGAACTGAAGGGATGAGGAGGAGAGTTAGTGCTGCTGGAATATTCAGCACACTGGAAACTTCTTACAATGACTTAATTACAGAATATATTTCAGAAAAATTCCTACTGTCAGTGAAGGAGACCTCCAGCTTGGCAGGCTCAGAGGGATGCTTGACCTTGGCAGAGCCGACGATGAAATTAATGCTTCCATCCTTACTAAAATCAGAGAGTTGAAACATTCAAATCCTAAGTATAAGACACATATTATTGTACTTGCTCTTATTTGTTAAATTACATTCTGTATCTCTATACTTTTCACAGGTGTTGTATACATTGAAGAATGAAACTCCTGACTGTTGTCTAACTTTGTTTGTGTTATACTCTGTATGTTCTTTGGTGGGAACTGTCTGTTTAGACAGAAACGGTGCTGTGGAAAAGAATTTCCCCAGACTTAGACTTAAAAAGTCTAATTTTTAACAAAAGAGGGGTTTTTGCAGAGGACAACCAATAAGAACTTTAACAACATTAAGGTTATTAACAAAGTAGTTTAGCAAATGTGACAGCTGTAGACAACTCTGTGGAAATGATTAAAAAAACATTTTTAACATTAATAATAAAAATACTATTTTAAGGACTATGATTGAAATGTTGTTGATCCAAAATGTTGTAGAGATGAAGGAGTATTTATTTTCAAATGAATATGTATCAACCTATAAAAGTGTTAGATATTTATGTGGTCTGGACTCACAGCAGCTCCCTGTTGAGGACTCCGATGACTCCTGGACTCTTTGGGCTGTAGGTGGCAGTGCCGCACTCGCCTTTCTGGAACTGTGTTGGGAGCTTCATGATCTCATACCACTTACCAACGTACTAACAAGAAACACAGAATGTCACCAAAAAAACAACAACTGATAGATCCTAAACATTTAATTAATATAAATACGGACAGATAGTTTATACTTTTACAGCATTATCGACTTTATATTTCATGATGTTTATAGCAGATAAGAATAAATGGTTCATATTCACCCTGCTGGAATCAAAGTTGGCCTGCACAGGCGGTTTGGGGCATTTTCCAAACCTCAGCATCTGAGCACTGGCTGCCATAACACACAGCAGAGTCAAGGAAATCACCTGCATGGCCTTCATCTTTACACCTCGAGCTGCAAAGAACCAAAAAAAAACATTCAACCGTCAAAAACTTCAAAAGATTGCTCCTGAACTCCTGAAGAAAAGAGCAGGAGACGCATTAGGAGGAGTAATGGCTGCAGTCTGCTCACCTGTATGTAATCAGAGATACTACACTGAGTGCTGGATGGTCACTTTGGGGGTCTTTTATAGATCTAAGCGCCTGTAGCGTCATCATTGATCACATTCTCTCCTTGTGTTTACATGTAATTGTGTTATGAGGAGGTGGGGCATGTGTGGGAGACGACATCTGTTCAAACGGGCCTCACACTTTCTTATCTTTGTAGTACTATATCCACATTGTCATTCACTCCTCTCTATGTTTTCATCTCATTGAAACCTCTTTTCATATTATCATCCCTTTCAAAAGTATAGTTGACATGAATGGGAGCCACATTAAATTTAAAACCACCAGCCCTAGATAACCACCCCCACATTTGATTATTTCCTTTAAATTTTTGTTTGTCAGAACAATAAAAATGTTCAGTGCATGCAAGCAGTGCCTTCATATCAAAAGGGAGTTTCCACATATTATCTGGATGTTGGGATTTATTTCTAACTTATGTCCCAAATTGTGATTTTTGGAATGTACTTGTATCGAGGGAAAGGCTTCACTTACTGTTTTTCATAACTGCTAAAACAATAAATCCCATTCCATGAACCAAATGAATTAATCACTCTTCTGGCAAAACCTATTTTTTGTGCAAAAACTCTAAACACATTCTCACTTACTAAAATATATTTTGCACTGTGTTTCACTTGTTATGCAAAACCGCAACCACAGGTGTCAATGTTTACACAAAAAACTACAAACTGAAAACACTTGTTGCTAATTATGTGATTAAACCAATGTGAGAAAATTCAGAGTGCATGAGTGAGTTTAAAACTGATAATACAGAGAATCTTTTAATTTCAATCCCAAAACCCCGGCTGCAGTCAGCTTCCGCTAAAACATAATCATTACACAAACTCTCACCTCTCGCACCACAACATTGTCGAACATCAACATATTCAACACATAGACACTTCTCAACTCAACTCTCTTCTACCTCTCAAGTCCCCCTTACAAAGCACCTTCTCTCCCTCCTCTTCTCTCTTTCTCTCTTTCGCTTCTTTCACTTCTTGTATCCTTTCTTAGGTTTTTCATATGGTTTTGTAGTTTTTTTGATCGTAGTCTGATGTGTGTCTATTGATGTCTTAGTACTTTGCTGTCTTTATTTATTTTATTTGTTTTATTTTATGTTTTACTGTATTTTGGAGTCCTGACCTTGTCTGTTTATTTCTTTGTGCCTCATTTTTATGTATATATCACCAGTTTGTCACTTTATTGCACCTAATAAAAAAAAATAAAAAAAACATGCAACATACTCAAAATGTCTTACCATCTCATGAAGGGTTTGTTTACCATCTCTTGTTAGCATGCTAGCAACTTTATAATGAGGTTGTTATGATGTTATGTTTACAAAGATTA